TCGATAGAGAATTGAAAAACGAAGAGATTACCGTACCAGTTTTTTGAATTTTTGCTCCTGAGCCGAGATACGATTTTTTAGTGAATTATTTTCTTGCTCTATTTGACACCCCCGTGTTGTTTTTCAAATATCTCAGCTCAGGAGCAAATTTTCAAAAAACTGGTACGGTAATCTCTTTGTTTTTCAATTCTCTATCGAATGAGACCACTCCGAGTAAAATCGGCCGAAAATTGTGGGACTACTTACAGTTTTGGTAACACCTACTTTTTTTGTAGAGTTCTATCAGCTTCTCCCATCATTTAACTTAACACATAATCCAAACCGCAAATAAAGCCTACTGGAAAGCCAAGAAACACACAAAAACTGCCTATCCATTTATTAGTTGGGGCCATTTTGCTTGGCGGTGTTGGTATTGTAGGATTATCAGTATACGGGATCATTTTCATTGTTCGGGCTTTACACGAATATGGAGACGAGAAACGTCGGGATAAACCCACGTCTTCCACCACCATCAATGAATATCACTAAAGAATTAATGATCAAAGAGGCACGTGAAAATATGAAAATGAATGTAGAAGAATATAATTTCGCTTTTTGTGGTCTACGTAAACTTTACACTGACATTTAAGATGGAGATATGAAAGTTGTGATTGCATAAGACAAAACCAGTCGTCGAAGTTTGGAATAGGATCCGTTAGACCCTAGCCCTTTCCTCGAATCGTTTTCTTGACTAAATATTTTGATACAGCGACATGACCGCGAACGACATTACCGCGAATACAGAAAACGACATTACCGCGAATACAGAAAACTACATTACCGCGAACGACATTACCGCGAATACGGAAATTCTTTATACAAATTCGATCGATTTTCTATAAAATGGAAATTAATTCAAGATTACAGTATAGTTAGAAATCACATAAGCACTTGAAAACCTCAGGAAGATTCATACAACATCAAAAAAATATATTCTGTGTGAAAGTACTTTTCGAACTCACTCTCACACTGCACACACACCCACCGCCCACCAAGTACTGCCAAAAATACCCAAATGTGTACTACGAAAAATTCGCGGTAATGTCGTTTTCTGTATTCGCGGTAGTGTCGTTCGCGGTAATGTCGTTTTTTGTATTCGCGGTAATGTCGTTCGCGGTAATGTCGTATCACGAATAGTTTTACTTTGCAGACCATCTTTTGAAGTATCCGCTGCGAATTTTAACCTTCTAGCTCTAGTCTAACGTTAGTTTCAATAGGTGACTATCTGGGCCTTTCAATCAAAGACAAATCAGATGCTGTAGATTTTGTGTCACGTCTTTTTACATGGAAACGCTACTTTTTATTTGGGTAAAACATGTACTCTTTGACAGTGTCTGATCTGAATCTATGGTCAACTTTGCCACAATAATAATCAGTCATGATGCGTTGGAAAGATTATCGCCAAAACTGTTCGCAGACACGCACAGAAACTATTCCGAATCGACAATATAGTCTCTATCCCTTCAAAAAGATGTTATCTTTACTGACGAACTATGTCATCGTTTCTTTACCAAAGCACTTAGGATCTCGAAAACCAGATGCAGATTCCAGTTCAGTATAGAAAACTGTATTCACACACATAAGATATGGGACATCAATGGAAAGATGACTTTTCACCCCGAACGATGGGAACTGAAAATATTGATTTTGTGCATACATCTTACCCTAGTTGATGCAATTTGGCATGCTGAGCTCAAATCTGTATTTAATTCTGAAATGCAGATGTGTGTAATAGAGAAAAGTGCGAAGTACGTGCTGAATAAGGAAAATGCCATTTTCGGGCTGGATACAATGCTTTCTGCTAAGTGGGGTTTCTACACATGTTCCCCTCTACTTCTACAAACGAACTGTGAGAGGTTCATGCCGAATTAATCGTGTTTCCAAAAAAGGCCGAATTTGACGTAAAATGCTACCCTTTCTTGGAGAAAACTACTTTAGAATGACTTTTTCCTTTCATTCGGTTTACTCCCTGATGTTTCACCTGTGTTTTCCTATGACATGTAATAGAAGAGCCGAGAGAAGTGATCGAAATCGACGAAAATACTTAGACCCATTCCAAGGCCTCATGTTCGATGAATTCGTCGAGATTCGAAGTGAATTGTTGCCTTCAGTGGCATGAATTGGTGCTGGCGTTAGTCTTGCAATTGCAGGGTCACACGCTGCTACACAAGCAGGGTGGAATTATGAGCAAACAGTGCTTCTTCGCAGACCGAAAATGCAGAAAACCGAGCAAAAATCACGCAAAAGTTCGAGACGGTTTTTTGACATTTCTTTGGGAGTTCCAAATGTTCTCGTGTGTTGCTAAATAGATTAGGTCAAGTGTTATGTAGAAACGAAGGGACAGGGGCGGATTTGAAGCCATTTTGGCCCAATAGTACTTTTCACATCAAACCCAAGCGAATTATATATCAACAGAAAGGACATTTCTTCCTGAACATTCTCATAAAAAGTACTGGAATGATATCATATACTATTCTGAAGTTCTGGTTTCGACAAGCCTGATCCCTGACTCTCCAGAGCCTTATCATGTCTTTTCCTTATTATCAAGGAATTGAGAGATGACTAATACTGGATTTCAAAGCTTAGCAATTAAGTAGTAGTTCACACACTGTAGTAGTTCACTTTTTCGACTGTCTGTTAAGTATGCGAGCGGTCGACTATAACACTGATGTACATCGATACGTCCAGCGTATTCGATCTTGTTTACTATTGAAAGAACTTTAATGCAGGTTCGGACTTAGTGGATCTGGAAGAGCTTTTAACAAGCTACAAAAGGATATATACAACAAGGATATAGTAACGAAGCTGTAGGTGCGCAAGCGACCACAAGTCACCATCAGCACTATGCTTACTGTCGAAATTCGAACCACCCTCACCCTCACCCGACTCTTGAACACGCCACGTAAAGTTGGCCACGGTTTTCGTTTTCGTCGGGATAGATTAGTCTGGCGTTGTGTGAAAGATAATTGCAAAGGTCGTGCTCGTTATAATGGAGTAATGTACGAAATGTATCAGGATCATATATGTCAAGCGCCAGATCCAAATGAAATTGAAAAAGCTGTGTTCAATCATGAAATTAGACAGCAAGCAGAACAATGTCATGATCCACGAAAACCGTCGAGAAGAACTTGATCCTTGCCTTTGATTGACTTAACGAGAGACATATTTTTGATTTAAGAAGTTATCGGAATGATGTAAGTAACTTATATTTATATTTATACTAGCGGAAGTACCCGATGTCGGTCTAGATAATTTGATAGTACATGTTTGACGTATGAGAAGACGACGTCGCTATGGTCTTCTATGGATTACCGATCGGGGATATCGCACAATACGCTTGGAT